GACGCTCACTCGCGGCTCCGTTGTTCCACGCCAGCCTCGGCCAGAGCAGCCCCTCCACCCCCGCTCCCCTGACAGCGTGCAGCCGCCCCTGGCTCACAGCTGATGCCCGTGGGGCACAGAAGGGCCACCGCCATCAGCCACACTGGCCCCACCTGAGCCTTGTTGCACCTTCCTACCCAACCCCCTGGCCTACAGCAGCAGCCCGTAGGGAACACGGGGCCGTGGCCACCAGCCCCAAAAAGAGACAACCTCTGCTGGGGCAGCAGAGGTGCGTCCCACATCCTGACAGCAGCTTGCTGAAAGCTAAAGGAAGTTCTGGACAGGATCCAGTTCTGGCATCTGAGAGGAGAAAAAACCCTGATCGCACCTGTCTGCACTTCTGCCCTACCCCTAGACCAGAGCCCTGCAACAAACTTCTACAGCTCTCACCTCCCCACTACCTCAACAGTCTGCCTCAGTGCGTCATGCCTGCACCGCATCATACCGAGACGTCAGATCCGAGCACAGAGCTGAATGCTGGGTGGCGCAGGGGAAGGTTACTGCCAATATTGTGACCAGAGAAGTAATGTACAGTTGAGGAGTTGGCAATCCGCCTAACTTTACCTGAAAAGGTGCAGGCCCATGCTGCGCTACACTGCACGTATAGCTTGGCCTGCATGTGGAAGTGCAGCAGAACAGGAACACGCACCAGAAACGCTTTACAGTTGCTGTTTATAGGCTCGGTTTTGGCCACCATTCGTAAGTGACCACACACAAGTGGCCCATGTCAAACAGACCTCGCTAGAAAGTCCTATGACACAACAGTGTATGAGAAAGCAGAGTCAGGTGCAGGCTACTGCTGCACACAGGTGGAAGAGGAGCAGAACGAGGCTGATGACACCAGTTTGCATTCAGACAGATCCATCAGGAAATGCGGCTCAGTGACAGCATCACAATTCAAGATGCACTGGCTGGCAGTCCTACCTAGGGGGACAGCAGGATGGGGGACTGCAGGGGGACAGAGAGGCCTGGAGTGAGAAAGAGGTCCAAGAAGCTCGGCAGATGAATGTAAAGAGAAAAAGTGTGATGCAGAGCTAGACAGGGAAACACAAAGAGAAGTGTAAGGAGATGGATGAAGGGCTGGAAAAAAAGAAGGATGTATATCCAGACAGATAGACAGGGGGTCCGACAGAGGAATAGAAAGAAAGGGATGGAAGGCCAGAAGGATGAATGGAAGACCAGACAGAGGGACAGGGAGTGGAAGAGGGGAAAAGAGGGATGTCGAGGTGGACAGATAGATATAGGGCAGAAAAGGTGTATGGAGAGCCAGGCAGGGGGTAAGGGAACTGGACAGAGGAACCGAGTGAGACAGAGAAGCGTACAGAGATGGGTAGAGAAAGAAAGGGATGGGGAGCCTAACAGAGGGACAGCAGGGACTGGGTGTGAAAGCAAAGGATGAAGAGCTGGACATAGGGACGGGGAATGGAAGAGAGGAGAAGAGGGATGGTGAAGCAGACAGAGGGATGCAGAGGGAAATAGAGAGATGAGGAGCTCAACACTGGGAGGGGGAACAGAAGACAGATGGAGAGTTGGACAGACAGATGGAAAGGAGAAAAGAGGAATGGAAAAGCAGAGGCATAGGGAGAGAAAGAGAGGGACCGGGAACTGGCCAGAGAAATGAGGGCTCGAAGAGGATGGGAAAGAAAGAGAAGGACAGAGGGCCCGACTGAGGGATGGGAGCAGAAGAGAGCAAAAGAGGGACACAGAGGTGCGCACAGGGATGTAGAGGAAAAGGGGAAGATCGCTGGGCAGAGCAATGGGGAGCCAGACAGAGCGATGGGAGGAGAAAGACTGAGAGGCTGACAGAGGGAGGGAGAGAAAAATCAGGAATGTGGAGCAGCGGAGATGGATAAAAAGAGGAAAGAGGAACAGGCAGCTAGACAGAGCAACTGAAGGATGGCCAGAGGGACAGTGAACTGAAGAGAGGGGTCAAAAGGGAAAAGAGGAACGGAGAGCCAGATGGAGGGGAAGGTTGTGGAAAAGAAAGACGTAGATGTGAACAGAGGAATGGAAAGGGAAAAAGAGGAGTGGGAAGCATATTGTAAAATACGGAATTGAGTAGAGCTCTGATTCTGGCACTACGAACTGGTTTGACTGAATAAAAAGAATACAAGAACAAGTTGTGCTTGGAAACAAAGACGGGTAAAATGTTGCTACAGAAAAAAAATGTTTATTAGATTCTTGAGAATGAGGCAAGGGACTCGGATGGCTCTCTAGTGATTCTGAACTAAGATTTGCTCAAAGTTTGAGGTTATACTGTGGGTTTGAGTTTTGTCTTTGAAAATTGTGGATGGGATGCAGTGGATGGAGTTTGGCTACATGGTTTGGGATAGTGAAAGCGCCTACTACTAATGTTACTCTGTTGCACTGGTATGTTTACAAAGGTAGATACATAAAAAGGAAATATATGTTATAACTATATACAAAATATATTTGTTGTTATAAATCAGATATTACACTGTTATGTATTACCCATTTTATAGATATATGTATAATAAATAATACACACACACACACACATATAAAAAAGAAATATATAAGAACTCTTGGCCAAAGTTGGTTAGAAGGAAGTGAAAAAAGATAAAATTCCTTCAAGCTGGAATACATGGCTGCAGTCACTCAATGAAGTTGTACTAAAAAAAAAAAAATCAAGGAAGAAGGATATTCAACTTTTTATTGCTTTCCTGTTACTCACTTTTTAAACAAAAACTGATCAACAGTGTCAAGACCACAGTAATTTGCTGTTACTGTGTTACAAAAAAGCTCTGGCTGCCCAGTTCTGGAGAGGAAGCAGTCCTGGACTGCCTACGTTATGTTAGATCAAGCATAATGACCGAGAGAGCTAGAAACCTCCTTGAGTAGGGAACAACAGGATTTACGGATGCATGTTCAACAGTGCAAGTAGAGCTTGCCTATGCAAGACAAGTGGACCATCTGTTTCAAAGACTGCTTTTTGTTAGGCAAGATCTTCAGTATCAGATGTAAGAGCTATAATACCAGATATATCACGTAGAAAATAACTAAATATTATACAGTATTTTGTCTCTAAAATAACAAAGGGGATGTAGTTCATTATCAAAAAGAACTGTGTTGCTCATACAAAGTAAATGCTTTTATTTCAGGTATGTTTTGGGGAAAAAAAACATGAAGGATATGGTCTTTCAAGTAGTGAGTATAATTTAGACTAAGAATTAAGAACTTAAAAACATGTGAAAAGCAGTGTTTTCTAATACTACTGAAAAAAATAGAATCACCTTGCAGTCATAAAAATTAGAGCCACAGCCTATGTTACACATTACTGTTGCTCATCATTTTGTCCAGGAGCAGGACAACTGGCTTCATACTTTTTCTTCAAGCCTTTCAAATATATGCGCAAACTGTCTGGATCCAATCGAGAATTTCTGGCAGTCTGAACCAATCTCATTGCTAAATGGTATACAGCTCTCTGTTTCATCATCTCAGGAGTGCTTTTCTGCCTGTGCTGTTCTTAGAAACATACACATGCATTAAAATATGAAATCAATTATGTTCTATTATTAAAATACTAATATTAGCTATTTTCCAGCCTATTTCTGATCTCCTCATTCTTGCTTTGTACACCAACTTTACATCCAATACTCCTTAACCCTAAGGACTGGTTTGTGTTGTCACCTAACAGTGACCTTCAGTATACTCTTTTATAACTGGTTCCAGAAATACAAATTTTAATGAAATCTATTTTCATAAAATCATAGGCAGTGCTTATCCTATACCCTTTCCGAAACTGAAAATATATTTGAGTTCTATAAAAACTGTGAATTACAGTATTATAATTTTCTATTACATACCAAAATTTGTTTTGCAATATGATTTGTGATTTCCTTTGCATCCAAAATTACGGATGATGGTAGGGAGGAAACTTCTGCAGCTTTTAATCCTAAATATATAAAACAAAAACCAGGATTTTTGATGTAGTTTTTTTCCTACCTTCCACACTATGGCTGCCAGAATTAACTTAGCCTATTTTTTAAAGGGTGAGGTTTTCATTTTTATTAAAATAATTTTGATGCACATTTTCTCTTTGTGTCTTTTTTTTTTTTAAATAAACAATACGGTTTTGAGAGTTACAAAATAAAATGTTTACTTTGTTGTAACGCTACCTCTAAGACACACTTCCACATGAAGTTACTGCTGGTAATACTGTAACTGGGCAGGATGATACACATTAGGGAAAAAAGGAAAAAAAAAAAAGGCACAGTGGTATTAACAGCTTTCTCTGTTTAGTTTTTTAATTTGGCAGGCTGGAAAATACTGAGGTTGTGCTAAATGCGCTCTCCATTAAATCCAGACACCCAGTGGATATGGATGTCATGTTGTAGCTTCTACTCTGTTGCCAGTAGCCAAACTGTCAGATACTCAAGAGTAAGAAAGAGATGTAAAATATTTTTTCCTGCCCTAACATGATTTTTTTACTTTTTCCTTTGCCTGTGGCCCTGGATGTTCTGAGGAAATTCTGTGCTTCACCAGGTGCTTTAATACTATAGGGTTAAAAACAAAAAAGGGTCAAGAGGAGCCCCTGTACTCTTAGAATATAACTTTGCTCAAGTAAGGTAAAGTCAGGACACTAACACTGAGTTACTACAGGTCTCCTGTTCTCTGAGCATACTCTCTAAACATATGATTTTTTTGAGTTAGTGGTGTTGTAGCATCTGAAGTTGAGCTTGTGCTGCCAAAGGTAAAGAAACTTATTCTGAAATTCTGATAAAGAAACGTTTTAAGTCCAGTTAATTGAAGCTTGACTGGAATAATTTGCATCCTTCAGTTACCACTAGCTTGCAAAAACAAGCACTTAAAATACACAGGTATTTGGAACATATTACAGATCTGCAGTTGTTACTCTATGAGAGATATACAAACTCAGCAGAAATCTGTCAGCAGAAAAATAGTTAGGTGCCTAATAACTGAAACAGTATCTTATATAATCTTTACTAAGTTAAAGTCATAGTGGAATCCATTACCATAGTTCTTTTCCTCTGTATATCCTTTAGAGAGCGTGTAAGTGTAAGCAATTTTCTCCTTATTTCCAGCACTGCTTCTCACATGTTGCACTTCAAAATGGTAATTTTCCACATTGGGATATAAAGCATCTATATGACACAGTTCCAGGAAATGTGTAGCAAACAGTGTAAATGCCTAAATAAGGAAACAAGAAAGAAAATTTATTTTGGAAATGATCCTGGAATAAATTACAATAAATAAGAAAAATTAAATGATCTCACAGATGTCCAGGTTTTCCACCAAAACATTGAAAAGCTGTCTTTAAATTACTAAAGCAAATTAAAATCTTTAAGCAACGAGTTGTACCGTTGGCAAGGATATCTTTTCCAACTGGGGATTCTCCCACTCCTTTCTCAATAGAAAGAAAAGAATATCAGAAGTAACAGGAAATCCATGATGCTTACAAAATTTGACTAAGGTTAATTAGAATGATTGTCAAATGGTTGCCTTAATGCTCTCAAGGACTGTTTTGCCAAAAGTACAAGCTACAGAAAATACCTGAGCTTTTCAAACCAAACCACAGAAATACTCTGAATAAACTCTGATGAGAAACTGAACACCTACACACTTACTTCAAAAAGTTGTCAACAACCTGAGGGTGATCACATAACTAGTAATAGAGGTGAAACTTCCAACCCATCTAAAACCACCTTCTGCTTTTCTAAACAAGCCTCTAATCTCCGTGAGCAACTCGTAAGTTGTGTGGAACTACCACTGTACTTTGGAAAGACAACAGCCAGGTAAAGAGGTTCACCTTTAACACTCAAGCATACAAGCCGTACTAAGCAAAACTAAACAGACTGGGTTATTCTCTTTCTAGAGAGAAATGCAAGCTTGTGAGCAAGTTGGAGATGGTGACCAGTGTACTGGTTTTGGCTAGGGTAGAGTTAATTTTCTTCATAGGAGCTAGTATGGGGCTATGTTTTGGATTTGCCCTGAAAACAGCATTAATAATAGAGGGATGTTTTAGTTACTGCTGAGCAGTGCTTACACAGAGTCAAGGCCTTTTCTGCTCCTCACAGCACCCCACCAGCGAGCAGGCTGGGGGTGCACAAGAAGTTGGGAGGGCACATGGCCAAGACAGCTGACCCCAACTGCCCGAAGGGATATCCCATATCATATGACGTCATGCTCAGCATATAAAGCTGGGGGAAGAAGAAGGAAGGGGGAGGACGTTCAGAGCGATGGCGTTTGTCTTCTCAAGTAACCGTTACGTGTGATGGAGCCCTGCTTTCCTGGGGATGGCTGAACACCTGCCTGCCGATGGGAAGGAGTGAATGAATTCCTTGTTTTGCTTTGCTTGCGTGCGTGGCTTTTGCTTTATCTATTAAACTGTCTTTATCTCAACCCACGAGTTTTCTCACTTTTACTCTTCTGATTGTCTCCCCCATCCCACTGTGTGGAGTGAGTGAGCGGCTGGGTGGTGTTTAGCTGCCTACCGGGGTTAAAATCACAACAACCAGTGAACAGAAGCACAGTTTATGTCAGCATTTTTTCTCTATCACTGTAATTCTTACTATTAACCAGTTATAAAAAATATATTCAGGCAATAAATCTCTACAAAACTGAAGTTAAATTACGAGAAAATACTGTATTTACTTCCAGTATGACAAAACAATTATAAGGTTTAAATTTTTTTCAAAACAGAATTACCTTTAAATTCAACAGATATTCACAGGCAGCATAACAAATGCCAATACCTTCTTCAGCACTGGTACCTCTGCCAAGTTCGTCAATTATGATGAGTGATTTGTCATTAGCATTTTGTATGATGTACGTTATCTAGGAAAATATTTAATGTGTTATCATTCCTATAAATGCATTTTTTAAAAACCCTAATAGGAATACTGTTGCTAATAGGAATACTTTATGTTATTCAGATGAAGCTTAACGCAGAAATTTAAAAAAATCTTGTCACATCCACAAATTTTACCTTTTCACAGCTTTCAAATAGCTGCCAATTCTAATCAAGCAATGACTCATACTACAGCACTCTTTCTCTTTTCCATTGAACATATCACTCTCCCTCAAAATCATATCAGTTTGGGAGCGGGAATTGAGAGGGCTTAGGCTCCTACAAGTAATCATTTAAGGTCTAAGAAATAACAAAACATTGAAACTACTGTCCAACAGAGCACTGATTTTTACTTGTATTGGGATATCTTTTTATTTAAGATATGCCCAGTTTTCTGTGGTTTATCATCAAGGTAACTGATGAAAGCTGAAGTTTTTATGCTTTTCAAA